GGGAAGAGAGAGGCTAGATAAAGAAGTGGGTAAGTGTGGTAACATTTCACTCTCTTATAAAGCTGCCAAGCAACAGCTATAGAGATATGGATATAGGCAAAGGGAATTTCTCTAGAGTGAGTTTTACTACTTTGTCATAGGATGCATGCTTACCATTTCCAAAGAGCAAAGCCAAGGTATGCTGAATTATAAAAATGAAATAAAATAATACCAATACCTAATTTGCACAATCACTTTCTAAGCATTTAGATGTACATAAATTATGGCATTTCTTTATTTTTCCATTCCTGATGGAAATGTAGTCACTCCTTTGGTTACTTATTGTCAGTGCTTATGCTGCAATAAAACCTATTCAGTGAATGAAAATGTCACATGCAGTGAAAATTTATGGACAATATGCGGGATCTAAGTCAAATGGAAGTAACATATTCAAATCTAGATTAGCTGGGAAGATGATGCTCCAGATTTACAAAAGTTTATTCATTCACTGACTTTTCTGACTCAGCTGGTTTTGCAGGTCATTGTTGCTTTAGCATAACTCAGGCATATCCTTAGAAAAAGAAGATCACCATTAAATATGACGTGGGCCATACATCTGGACTTCACTGCATTTACCTGAAAATCAACTCAAATAACAAATCCTTAGGGAACTAATTTGTCCAATTTCATGGCTCAGAGAATCAATAATAGGGTTTTTTTTTTCAAATGCGTGGTATCAGAACTGCTCCTCACTTCCCATATTTTGGGAATTTCCTGAATGAGGAAAGGCATCGAGTATTTGCTGACAGTAGTTTTGAGGAGGCAGAATTCCAGACCATTACCTTCATAGTTTCCACAGAAATAAATAGGAGGCATTACTTTTCGTGCAACGTACTTATTTTTGTTTAGTTTTAAGTTGTGTCTCCAGAATTCCTGCGTTATTTTTAACATTTCTCTTAAATAGGAGATTCATAGGAGGCTGTGTATTTTTTTTGTGTGTGTTTTTACAGAACTTCAAGGGAACATATGACATGGCTAGCAAAGGATAGGGATTAAAGTGGAGGAACAGATATGTGTTGTGGTGAAGATCTGTTCATAAATAGATTTTAATAGAGATTGACAACTTCACTTTATTTATGAGCCATCTGAAATAGCACAAGTCTCAACAAATTAACTATCCATTAGTATGTCTTATACTGATTTTTTAAATTTTTTTGTTTAAAAGCTAGACTAATGTTTTCACTTAAAAATAAAAATGTAGTAAAATATATGTAGGTCACTCTAAAAATAATGCCTCTGATTTTTTTTTCCATGGAAACTGCAACAGATATGAAGAGCACAATGACAGTATTTGATAGAACTAATTCATAGCTACAAAACTCTATTTTTCAACATTCTCCACCATCAGCTATGCATTTTTGCCAACAGTGAAAAAAACTCTGCATGTTGAGCTCATAAATAGCTGCACCAGTGGAGATGATCCACTGCTGAAACGCATCACCCACCTTCTCACTGTGCTCTTACCTATTTGGTCTCTATAAACATTCAATAAGCATCAATGAATGTCAGTAGGTGCATTTTTTTTCCACGTGGAAGAATTCAATTCCACACCTTTTCTTCATATGCACTTCCATGCCAGATTCCATTCTATCAGACTGCCTCTCTGCTTCTATCTCCTGCACAGCAACAAAATATAATGGAATATTGGTGGGAAGGTTCATCTACAGGTTGTCAAAAGTTTCCTTCTTTGGTTTCAGAGCTTTACATTTTGACAATTCAGTCTTTGCAAAAAACCCAAAACAAACAAAAAACCCCACAAAACTTAAGGATGTGTGATTTTATAATTTAATCCACCCATTAATCATGAACTCATGTGATCAAGGTATTTTAATTGCATTTATCTACACATCTGATATTAACTATGTATAGTTAATATCAAAATACATATACTGTGTTTTCTAGTTGGATCTCCTTACCCAGTCATGACGGCTCAGGAATTGCTAGTATGTTGAGTGTAGATAACCATGGCAATTTGTGTGCTAATGAGTAGTGGTCTGTGGAACTCAGATCAGCCCATTAGGTACAAAGCCAGACAGAAGTACTGAAAACAGTAGCAGGAAAAAAAAAAAAAAACAAAAACAAACAAACAAACAAAAAAAAAGCCACTTAGAAATTATAGAGCAAGTGAAGTAAAAATCAAGTAGCCAAGTGAAGAAATAAGGTATGAGCATTGTCTTGTCAAAGTTAGTAATCTTAGATGCTGTTAAATATTTAGTGTGGTCTATTTGATCTGCTTCTCACAAGCTTCTTTGGGAGGTCTTTATTTATGATTTAATGGCTGCCTGTGAATTTGGTACTTTGAATTGAGAGAGCAAATATTCTTCTTCAACCATACTATCCATCTGATAAGTGTTTTTGTTTGTTTGTTTGTTTGTTTTTTGTTATTTTGCTTGTGTATGTGTGTGTGTGTGCATAAAAAAATAATTCTGGAATAAAACCGTGGTTTTTAATCACCACTTGGCTTAGATGCAGTAACATATTTGGTCCCCAGCAGTAAGAAGAGAAGAGACCTGTGATCTGTGGAGGTCAAATTCTAATTGCCCTGCTGTTTAGTTAAATTGGAGCAGTTACAGATACAAGAAAACTGGAGTTTGACTTTAAATAAATAACAGCTATTCAGAAAACATGTTTGAACAAAAATGCCCTATAGGAAATCACCTAGAAAAGATGTAGGGCATTCTTCTTCTTGCAAAAGACACTAGAGACATTTTTGACCTTTAAAGATATCCAGAATTTTATTCTTAAACTTTCTAATTCTGGAGAGCTATTTAAATTACAGTAGAGACACTGAAGAAAATAGATTGATATTAATTTTTACCATAGGAAAGGAAGATTTTATTCCCACTGCTCATAACCAGTACACAGAATAAAATATTAATGTCTGAAATAATCATGGACGTCCATTTATTACATCAAATGAAATTCTACTATATAACATAGCTATTAACTGACTAATGCATTTATTAGTCTTATTTTAACACCACAGTGAACAATGAGAACTACATGTAAGTTGATGCTCAGTGAATGTGAACCAACAAGCACTTGAAAAAATTGGGCATGGACACACTTAAAGGCATAAAAGATTTTTGAGTTATTTTTATTTAATTATTTATTTTTATATCAGTGAGATGTCAGCATATGCTTTAAGCACTTTGTTGAAACAGGACTGGAGTATCTAAGGCCCATATGGATTATTATTATTATTATTATTATTATTATTATTATTATTATTTTCCCCCAGAAATCAGCATGCATCATTGCATTTACTCTTCATGGTGTACGACGCTCCTACTTTTTTATTTTCACTAACAGAAGCCTGGTGGATTTTTTGTTTGTTTTTTGTTTCTATATGCGTGTCTGTGAATTTGACCTATAGCTCTTCATAAGATTGATTGAGCTTGGAGGTCAGTCTGCTATGGCAAGACAATGTCTGATCCTATAAGCAGTTGCTCTGTGGAGTTCCCTTCACTCTTACTGATTAGTGTCTTTGTCAGTAATTCTTTGAGCTCCCAATGATTTTCTTGACTCATAGACTTTTCAGGTGAAGTGACTTCAAGGTTACTTCGAGTATCTACTTCGAGTGTCTCTCTGAGGCTCACTGGTGTTGTATCTTATTTATAACCAAAGATCAGAAGACCATGTAGAAAATCAAGCTGTTATTGATGACCAGATATTTCTCTGGTGGAGAAAATTTCAGAGATAATTTTACACAGATATTTAATCTCTTTTCATAGTTCTAATGGTCCACACTAGCATAAAATCAACTTTATTACCTAGTTGTGGCAAATTCTTATTAGAATCTTTTGAGATCCTCTGACTTTTAGGTTGCATAAACCTTTATTTGACACTTCCAGTATAATTAGTGGAAGTTTGTTTAATAGAGTCTGCAGGATGATATCTGTGGCCTTTCAAAATTTCCTCAAATATCGAAAACTTGAGCAGAATGAGCTATGAAAATTGTTCTGAATATGTTAAATCTGGACATTCCTGCTTTTTTCAAAGAGTTGATTGGTTTGGTGGTGTGAAGTGAGCATTTTCACTCTCTACTTCTCTTTAAAACATTCATCATGCTGTTACACAGTCACAAATGATACCGATGCTTGAATATGCTGATAGCAGCCAATGTTGTCGGTAGCTTCCAGTCAACAAAAACACTACATTAGAATGCTCTTCCATTTGTCTAGGAAAAGAGCTACTAGAAATGCATTTGTTTCTGCCTGCTTTTTTAAAACAAAACAAAACCACAAAATATTATTTTAGAAGTGTTTTATTTTACAGCATCCCTTACACAGAGCAGCTTTGTACTGAGCGTAACAGACCCTGACATCTGAATCCACTTTGTTCCCAGTAGTGCTGTGGTATCGGGTAGCTGTAGCCATCTCCTGATTACCACAGGGTGAAACTCGGAGCGATATCTAAATTCTGCCCGTTAGAAACCATCCCTCTGCACTTTGCCCCTGCAGAGGCTGATCCCGAGAAGCGATCCCGAAGAAGCCACCCGCAGAGCTCCGGGATGCTGTCAGGGCGGCAGAAGCACTTCAGCACCATGGCCAGCACCGGGCACCCGCCCGCCCGCGGAGCTCGGCGGTGAAGGAGGCGGCAGCGGCGACCCGCGGGGCACCGAGAAACGTCGAGGACGGGATTTCCAGCTTGGTGATTACGTGCTTATATGGAGACCAGTCACACGAAAGGTCAAAGCATGACCTTTGACTTCCTGCGCTGTGTTTTAATCCGAGGAAAGAACAGAGCTACTTCACTGATGCAAATGGAATAGAAGACAGGCTTCTGCTCTACGATCACGCTCTTCACAATGTGTTGGACTGCAGGCAAAGGAAGCAGTAATAGATGTTTTTTGTCTTCATTATAGTAAGTGGCAAATCTCTTTGTCAGATGAGGACAAGGGTTGCAGCTGTAGATTTAGGGTTAAATTAAGAAGCTAAAGGAGAAAAGTGTAACAGGGTCAAAGAAACACAGTATGTTTAAAAAGATCCATTCCATATTTCACCCCAACTCCCACCGAAGAAATGCAACAGATGACATTCCTTACTGGGATGGCACAGGTTCTGCTGTCAGGCTGATCCGCAGCACCTCTATGTATGTCCTTGGAGATGAGCAGGAAAAAGTGAGTGAACCATTAAAAAAATGCAAAAGTACAAACAGCATTGACTCCTGCAGCCAGTCAAAAGAGGAAGACAGAGAGTGGATGTACTCTAAGACTCAGGACTGCTTGAAATACTTACAGGACTTGTTAGCCTTGAGGAAAAAATACTTTGACAACATCAATAAGTTGAAATCCATGCATATGACTGCAGATTCCCCAACATCCACAAAATCATCCAAAACTGGAAAGAAGTCATTTCTTCCACTTTCCTCCAAAGAGTTTTCTAAGGTAATTCCTAAGAACTTTTATTGTATGATTAGTCTTAATCCATGAAGCAATTGTATGTATGACCTATGTTGATTTTCTGCCTTACTGGTTTCAGCTGTCTGTCTTTTTTGTTGCTGTTGTTACTCCATCTGAAATGCTACCAAATACCCTAAGATATTTCCAGATTTGTGTGAAGTCAAATATGAATGACTGGTCAAGGAAAGAATTATGTGTGTTTGTAGAAGTGTGGAGAGAAAATAAGAGAAGATAAGAACTATGAGCAGATGGGAAGTACTTGAAAACTTGTTATGAAAGAGATGTTTTCTCTCAATTCTGACTGGCTACTTAAGTGGCTCATAGTTCTCCACTGTGGTTATTTATAGCTGTTAATGACTGAAAAGCACAGTAGTCCCTGTGTTTATTGGTATCCTTCTCATTGGCAAAACTTACTGAAAACTATTGTGTTTTCTAAGAAACAGCTGTGATTTTCTTTGACTGATCAGACAGCTTGTCAGTGCTATGTTCATCATCTGTGCAAACTACTGATACATTGTAGGCAATGGAGAATTGGTAGGGGTTCCTTTCTCTGTTTATTAATGAACTGTCAAATAGTTTTGAAGCAGACACTGTAGTTCTTTGTCCTTTACTACAGTGATACAGTGTCCTTTACTACAGAAGAATAGCACTGATTTTTTTGTTGCTGATTGTTTCTATAAGTCCTAGAGGGAAAAACAATGCAAACCTTCTGTAGGGCTGCACCTTACAAGTTGCATGTCACTAGACTGTCCAGTAGTTTGACTGTGGGATTGATTCAGTTAGGAAAAAAGAACTGATTTGCAGCAGGTTGGGTGATCTATTTAGGGAACCAGACCACAAACATGGATTTGGCAGCAGACATGCAGGTTATCCAGTGCAGCCTTTAAACTGGATACTAATAAGAATGGTGGGAAGAAAGGATATAATGGATTACCTACTGACTAGGCCAGGTAGACTTTAACAGAAAATTATTCCACATTTATATGCTCTCTCACAGCATAATGTCAGTATGGCTGAGGCTGAGTTCTGCTGCATACATTGCTTAACCAAAGGACAAGATTCATATTTTTAGAGTTAGATACCATATTTTTTAATTCTACATCCTGATCTAGAACCCATTCTGTCAGTGGGAATCCCTCAGTTGATTATTTGGTCTTTATGTCATTTTTTTAATGCTTTGAGCAAGAAACAGTACTCAGTTCAGTGGGCTGGAGAAGACAGATTTTATAAAGACTTTACCATTTAGGACTAGGGAAACATGCAAAGAGAATAACTGAGTTATAGGAGAGTGGTATGATGATGCCAAGGGAGAGATGAATCTCAGCACTACAAGATACATAACCTGTGAACCAGTTTTTCATGCACAAAGACTGGCTTCATGCAGGAGAGAGTTATAGCATGTCTGCTCCCCTGATGAGCAGAGCAGTGATGTAATGGAGCATGAAGCATGTCTACCACTAGGCAGAGGAGAAATATGAGTGCAGAAGAACATTTAAACCATAGACCAGGAGTCTGTGAGATAGATTGTATACAATTATGATTCATGTAGAATTCTGACTCTCTGATATTTGTCATTGAAAGTGCCACTGGAAAAAAAAAATCAGCAATTTAACTTGAGTTTGGCGAACAAGTGAATCTCCCACATTCTGAGGCTATGAATGCTGTCATCTCTCTGTGGCCAGTTATCTCTTATGCATCCTCAGGCCTGATACTGGCTGACACGCTAACTCCACAACATTCCCCTTTGGAACATCAGGAGGACATGCTGCCCAGCAAGTCATTCTTGCTGACACAAATAGTGGGGTCACAGCTGCACAGCTCTGACTTTGCAAAAATTAGGAAGAGGCCAAGAAGACTTCTACAACATAGGGTACACTCCACTTCCTGACTCCAAGTTTTATGTTCACAGACTGCAAGATTCATTTTACCAACAAGGTTGAATAGTTCTGTCCCTAACTACCTCTTTATATTAAATTTCCTGCCAATTGAATCCACCTTTTTTTTTTCCCCATACATGCTGCACAATTAATAGGAATGTGCTTTGCCCAGACAACCTTGTGTTCAGGGAAAGTTTAATTTAATTCAGATGCGAAACCCAAAGCCTGGACTACAGGCTCTCTCGATTCAAAATATGTCACCTGAGGCTTGTGAAAGAAAAGAATAGAGAAGTGTGTCAGATTCTGGAGCACACACTTTAAAAAAATGTCTTTTAAGTAATGAAGTCTTGGGTATAATGGCAGTGACTATTCTCAGTCAGTGTGTGGTAGTAGTTATCCTTTAGCACTTCTAAAGATGTCAATCAATCAACCTATAAAGTTCAGAAGGAGAAACCCACTCATTTCTGCCTGCACCATCCCACAGAATGGGAAGCAAACTCGTTCTTCAGAGATGTGACACAGCATATATCTTTTGCTTGTGCATTTGAAACCCAGGACAATAAGTTTCTGATTCAGAATTGCTCTGGCAATTGGACTGGCGGGGAAAATACACGGCCCTTCATTAGGCAGAACCTTCATGAATGGCAGAAGGGTTCACCCTGTACTGACCTACAGATTTGCTAACTGAGGCTTTATGAATGCTTCAGCATCTATAGACAGACATTTGCTTTTTTAACAAGACAGGCTCCTAATTTTAAACCTCATGGCTTTCCTGTGGGAATTATCATAGTGTTGAATGACTCATTTTTTAGCACTCACAGTCCTTTTCCATTTCAAAAAAAAAAAAAAAAAAGACAAGCAATTTAGATCTGGATTCATTTTATCAAACCAAGGCATTTTAATAAGATGCTTAAATTAGTAACCAAGTTGCTCCATGATCCCTCAGCACTAAGGAACTAGAGCTGACTGAAGAGGGGAATTCAGCCTACCTAGATTCTGACTCATCTCTTGAAGGTACTCGAGCCCTGCATTAATTAAAGAAGTAACCTTGTATGACTCCATTTCTAATGTGTGCATCCCCTTAGGTGCCTAATACTAGGCAGGATGAATTTGGCCACAAAGATCAGCTGTCACCTAGCCACCCAATTACATGGATCAATAGAGGGATTCTGAGAGATTTTATAAAGACATGTTGGCAGTGCTGAAGTGGAAGATGTCTGACGTTGAGCATGCAACAAGAAGGACACTTGCACTGATGTTCTGCCTTCTTCGTTGGCTGATGTGGAGTAATCTGGAGCCTTTCTGAAATCTTGAAATATGGAACCAAATAGAATTTTTGCAGCTTCCTTATACAGTTTTCTCATTAAGACATTTTTTTTCCAACTGCATCTAACTTCTTTTCTTTCCCTATCTTATCAACAGACATCCATGGAGAGAAGAAAAGTCCCACAGCCCAGTTCAGATGTAAGAGAAGCTATAGCGTTCTTTGACTCAGTTATTGCAGATCTGGATTCAGAGAGATGCCGGAGAGCTCCTGACATGGACCTGCCAAATGTGGATGTTGATTTTGATGGTGAAGTATAAAACAGATTACTTATGATGTGCGATGAGTAGAGGGAAGAGTGGTCAAGTAAGATCAAATTTACTTAAATGGACAATTTTCCTCTCAGTTTTGCTTCTGAGATTTAAGAGTATTAGAATCATAGAATCATAGAATGGTTTTAGTTGGAAGGGACTTTTAAGATCATCTAGTTCCAACCCCCTTACTATAGGCAGGGACATTTCCCTCTAGACCAGGTTGTTCAAAGATCTCTAAGATCATCTAGTCCAACCATCAACGCATCCCCACCACGCTCACTAACCATGTTCCTCAGTGCCACATCTCCATATTTTTTGAACACAGACAGTGACCACCACCCCCCTGAACAACCTGCTCCACTGCCTGACCATTCTTTTGGGGAAGAAGTCTTTCCCCATATCCAACCTGAACTTCCCCTGGCACAACCTGAAAGCATTACCTTTTTTCTATTGCTGTCAACCAGGAGAAGAGGCCAATCTCTACTCCATTGGCACAAAGAACATGGCCAAAATCAAATGCATTATGAGAAACTACAGTAACGCATTGCTTGTACCCTGTTGAAAGGTAGATCTTTTGTGTGTATTACATGAACAAATGTAGCATATATATTGAGGAGTAGTGCTTGCCTTCCACCTAGGGCTAAATTCCATCCTGCATCTCAGTTAATTATTTCTATGTCTAAATCTCATGCTTATCATTGAGAAATGGATAGATGCTTTATCTCCAAACAGAAAAAAAAAAAAGTCCTTCAACGGTTAGTCTAAATAATAGTACCTTTCCAAAGGTTGGGATTACTTGACCAAATGAAGATGTGCCTTTCTGAACTCATCATCCATGCTGCATAATCAAGTGGAGAGAAATATTTTTCTCTTTTATGCTTTGTCTCAGGCTAAGGAACATATGTGAAACAGATCAGAATAGTTCTGTCCTCAAGTGCACATTGCAGGTCTTTGACACAAGTGTTCATTCTTCAGGCACTGAAATATTAGATAAGATGAATCATGATGAATTGGTTCGTGTTTAGAATAATGCTAACAACATACCAATGTTTTGGTTGTTGCTGAGCAATGCTTGCACAGTCACAGGTGTTTCAGCTTCTCATGCTGCCCTGCCAGTGAGGGGGCTGAGGGGTAGGAGCTGGGATGGGACAGAACCAGGACAACTGTCACAGACTGGCCAAAGGGACGTTCCATTTCATGTGGTATTGTGCTGGACATTAAAACTGGGTGAGCTGGCCTGAGGCAGGGGGAACCATTCTTTGGGACTGGCTGGATCTTGGTCAGAGGTGATGAGAAACTGTGTTGTGTGTTGCCTACTTTTTTATTTGTTTTTGTTGTGATTTTCTTTCTTTCTTTCTTTCTTCCTTTCTTTCTTTCTTTCTTTCTTTCTTTCTTTCTTTCTTTCTTTCTTTCTTTCTTTCTTTCTTTCTTTCTTTCTTTCTTTCTTTCTTTCTTTCTTTCTTTCTTCTTTCTTTCTTTCTTCTTCTTTTCTTTCTTTCTTTCTTTCTTTCTTTCTTCTTTCTTTCCTTCCTTCCTTCCTTCCTTCCTTCCTTCCTTCCTTCCTTCCTTCCTTCCTTCCTTCCTTTCTTTCTTTCTTTCTTTCTTTCTTTCTTTCTTTCTTTCTTTCTTTCTTTCTTTCTTTCTTTCTTTCTTTCTTTCTTTCTTTCTTTCTTTCTTTCTTTCTTTCTTTCTTTCTTTCTTTCTTTCTTTCTTTCTTTCTTTCTTTCTTTCTTTTCTTTCTTTCTTTCTTTCTTTCTTTCTTTTCTTTCTTTCTTTCTTTCTTTCTTTCTTTCTTTCTTTCTTTCTTTCTTTCTTTCTTTCTCTTTCTTTCTTTCTTTCTTTCTTTCTTTCTTTCTTTCTTTCTTTCTTTCTTTCTTTCTTTCTTTCTTTCTTTCTTTCTTCTTTCTTTCTCTCTCTCTCTCTTTCTCTCTCTCTCTCTCTCTCTCTCTCTCTTTCTCTCTCTCTCTCTTTCTCTCTCTCTCTCTTTCTCTTCCTTCCTTCCTTCCTTCCTTCCTTCCTTCCTTCCTTCCTTCCTTCCTTCCTTCCTTCCTTCCTTCCTTCCTTCCTTCCTTCCTTCCTTCCTTCCTTCCTTCCTTCCTTCCTTCCTTCCTTCCTTCCTTCCTTCCTTCCTTCCTTCCTTCCTTCCTTCCTTCCTTCCTTCCTCTTCCTTTTTCTTATTATGCTGTCCATATCTCAATCCATGAGTTCATTTCAGTTTTCTCCCCCATTCTACTGTAGTGGAGTGAGTGAAATGCTGTGTGGTATTTAACTTTCTTCTGGGTTAAATCAAGACAACTGACAACTCTTTTAACTTGGGATTACCTTCTGTCTTTCAGTGGCTACCAGCACAAGTGAACACAGTTTACATTCAAACTGGATCCTTCGTGCTCCTCGCAGGTACTCAGAAGATACTGCCCAAACAGCAAAGGCTGCAAACCAGTCACAAAAAAACAGCCAACGAAGAACGACTGGCTCTAGGAAGAGGTTGGAAAGACATCCTATGTACTTGCCCAAAGCTGTGGAGGGAGCATACAACACATTAAAATTTAAGCCCAAAACACGAAAGAAAGAATATTGAAAGAATATTCCATCTTCAGCTGAAGACAGAATGTTTGAAATGGAAGACTTGATGCTCTTTCTTTTTTTTTTTTTTTTTACCTCTAGCCCATCTTTTGCACTCTAGAAATAATACGTGCAGTCATTGAAGATTCTTCATTTTGTATACACGTCAAGCCATCGCAATTCCAACACTGGACTCATGTGAGGATTTAACTCATCGAGTTTACTGTGCCTAACAATACTGCTTTGTCATTCAGCATTGGGGGGGAACTCCCAACTTGACAAGCCTTCTTGTAGTGCTGTTATTGAAAGCAATGATTCAGAAATTATCTGGCGTGGTAAATTTTCCTCTGAACCCAATACAGCAAGATGGTGCTGCTAATACGCTATGAGCTTTTGCACCAGTTTTCAAATTCAGAGCAGTGAAGCAGAATTTCCTCTATTTTTGTATGTGAAAATTTGTATGTGCCATTGTTGACTCTGTGTTCTAAGAGCATACAGCAGCACTGAAATAAGAGAAAGCTGTGGTACAAGCAGAAGAGGCTGTAATGAAGGAATCAGCATTAGAGGACTCGTACTGTTTTGAGGAATAGCTTTGGTGTTTTTGGAAAAAAAAAAAGTCAAGTACTTTTCTTGCTAGTGGGAATAGTTCTGTTCTTGGATACAACAACATCAAAGGATTTGCTGCTTGCAAAAATATGTTCAGCTGTTTTCATATAGTTACACTGCCTCTTAGTTTACATTTATTTCATCATCTGGATGCTGAGTAAACTTGAACCAAATGCTAGGAATGTAGGCTTCCTACTATGCATGGAAAGCACTTAATGTCTTAGAAAATAACACTTTGTGAACGAAGTGAAGCAAAGGTTATCCTCAAGAGCAGAGGGCAATTTGCAGGTAAATACACTACATCAGAATTAGATTATACATAGTATTTTGATTTCTGCCAGCCCATCATTGAATACTACACATACTAGGAAGAATGCAGTCTAGAAGTGTTCCTCTTCAGCTTTTTCATATTAGAGGTGATGTCTTCCACGTGTTGTGTGAAATTGATATGACCCATACTCTGCATCTTTTTCTGTGTATATCACAGGCATCAGTCTGAGACACCTCTAGCTCATGCTTGGTCTTCAGAATTTGCTAAGATGTTTGGATCAAGAGTTTGTTAATCCTACTGTTTTTTCATCTGATGTTCAGTTGGTGGTTCACTGTGGCAGATGAATCACAATAACACTGATACGACCACTTCTTGTTTCTATGTTGTAGGTTTGGTGCCCACAGGCTCAGATAAACTTCATAAGGCACTGGCCATCAAAATAACCTATCTGATACATCATTTACTTTACTTTCTGATACATCATATACATTTACGTTATTGAGTGCACCCTCAGCAAGTTTGAAGATGACACCAAGCTGAGCAGTGCAGTCAATACATTGGAAGGAAGGGAAGCCATCCAGAGGGACTTGGACAGGATGGAAAAGTGGACCCATGAAAACCTAGTGAGGTTCAATAAGGCCAAGTGCAGAGTGTTGCACTTGGGCTGGAGCAATCCCAAGTATTTATACAAACTGGGGGAAGATCTCCTGGAGAGCAGCTCTCTGGACAAGGACTTGGGGGTCCTGTTGGACGAGAAGCTGGACATGAGCCAGCAGTGTGCACTTGCAGCCCAGAAGGCCAACTGTGTTCTGGGTTGATTAAAAAAGGGGTGGCCAGCAGGGAGAGGGAGGTGATTGTCTCCCTCTACTCGGCTCTTGTGAGGCCCCATCTGCAGAACTGTGTCTGGGCTTGCGGTCCCCAGCCCAAGAAAGACTCAGAGCTCTTGGAGCGGGTCCAGAGGAGGGCCACTAAGATCAGAGGGCTGGAGCACCTCTCCTATGAGGAAAGATTGAGGAAACTGGTCTTGTTTAGTTTGGAGAAGAGAAGGCTCTGGGGAGACTTCATTGCAGCCTTCCAGTACTTGAAGGGAGCATATAAACATGAGGTGGAATGGCTGTTTACTAGGGTGGATAATGATAAGAAAAGGGGGAATGGTTTTAAACTGAGACAGGGGAGGTTTAGGTTAGATACTAGGAGGAAGTTTTTCACTCACAGGGTGGTGACGCACTGGAACAGGTTGCCCAAGGAGGCTGTGGATGCCCCATCCCTGGAGGCATTCAAGGCCAGGCTGGATGTGGCTCTGGGCAGCCTGGTCTGGTGGTTGATGACCCTGCACATAGCAGGGGGTTGAAACTGGATGAGCACTGTGGTCCTTTTCAACCCAGGCCATTCTATGATTCCATGCTTCTATAACCACTATAAACATTGTACTTGCAGAATACTTGGCAGGTGGCAATTCTTAATGATTTGTGTTCCCAGTCTTTGGGACTATGTTTTTCAACCACCATTTGTGCCATGAGGAGGAGGAACTCTCAGATCTCACTGATCTAAGACACTTTCTGTCATGAGATAGGAGAGTGCCAAAAAATTGATGTTCTTCCTTTCACAGCTGGCATCTCCTGTTTGATGAAAGCATTTTGTTTATTTTCCTAGTGGTGTTCATGAAGGAGAAGGAGGAATTAGTTCTGCAGTACTTTAATTCTGGAGGCATTTTGCTATTCTCAGTCTACCCAGTTTAGCCAGCATCACTGACACAGAATCATAGAATGGATTGGAGTGGAAGGGACCTCATAGATCATCTAGTTCCATCCCAGGATGGGCTGCTGGATCAAGCACCAGATCAGGCTGCTCAGGGCCCCATCCATCTTGCCCTTGAACACCTCCAGGGATAGGATATTCCCAGCTTCTCTGTGCAGCCTGTGCCTCGGTGAAAAATTTCTCCTTGACATTTTTGAGAAGAGCTTAAATTAAGGTCTAAGTTTTGCTTCCTTGCTGTTTGTACTTGTCACAATTGGTCTGTTGGTGGATAGCATTGCTGCCATTGTAATTCACCAGTCCTTTTTCACTTCCCTGAGCATAATACCTGTTTGCCTTTGATATGGTCACTCAAAGACACTCACTTGAGCACATGGGACAGCCAGAATACAGCATGCTCCAAACAGAGCCCCTTTCCTGAGTATCTTAAGGCTGCAGCTGCGTGTTTGTGTCAAAAGGGAATGGACAGTGCTCTGGCAAATCTGTGACCCTGAAATCGCTCTCCAAGCAGAATCTCACACTGAACTTACTGAGGAACATGTTTCCTAAGTGCGTGGTTACTGTTTTGATGATGGGAAACAAAGCACAGACAGATGCTGACAGAAAGCCTCACAATTGTTTTGAGGTACTGTGATAGAATTAGGTAAACACATAATTAAAATATTGACAAAGAGAAGAAGAAAAGTTTTCCAGTGGTGTTCAGGCCTGGACTGTAGTTCATATTTGTAGTGCCAAGGTTTTACTGATGTGAGCAGCTGATCTTTTTTGCTATTGCTTGAGGAGTACAAAATGATCGTAGAATCACAGAATCATAGAATGGTTTGGGTTGGAAGGGACCTGTAAGATCATCTAGTTCCAACTCCCTGCTATAGGCAGGGACACCTCCTACTAGACCAGGTTGCTCAAAGCCCCATCCAGCCTGGCCTGGAATGCTTCCAGGGAGGGGACATCGATAACGTCTCTGGGCAACCTGTTCCAGTGTCTCATCACCTTTACAGCAAAGAATTTCTTCCTAATATCTAGTCTAAATCTACCCTCTTCCCTCTTCCACTTTAAAGACATTTACCCTCATCCTGTTGCTACCTGTCATTATAAAAAGTCCTTCCTCAGCTTTCCTGTAGGCCCTGTTCCGGTTCTGGAAAGCTGTTATATGATCTCCCCAGAGCCTTTTTATCTGCCCTGGTAAAGCTGGTCATCTCTCCATGACAGGGAGTACGGGTGTCCTGCTATCCAGCGCACAAACTCCAGTGTGAAACAAGAGGTTTGCTCCGGAAATAATGCCTCCTATTTCATTTCATTGGCCCACAACATCAGAGGCAGATGTTGGTGGTATGGCAGTAGAGATGGAACCTTCTCACAAGTATTTCATTACATGGCAGTAGGAGGGCAGTCTGACAAAATGGCATCTGACATGGAAATGCATATGAAGCAAGGATGTAGAATTTAATTCCTCCATGAGGGAAAATGGGGCCCACTGATATTCATAGACATCTGCTGAACATTTATGGAGACCAAATAGTGGATGTGAGCACTGTGAAGCAATAAGGGCTGCATTTCAGCATCAGTGAACGCAACAGTGGGTCACCTCCATCAACAGTTTTTTATGAGCATGACATACAGGTTCATTACTGGTGAAAATGCATAGCTAATGGCAGTCACTACGTTGGAAAATAGCTTTTTGTAGCTGAGAATTTGCTCTATCAAATAGTGTTATCGTACTCTTTGTATCTTGTAATTTTCATGAAAATAAATGGAGGCATTACTTTCAGAACAACCTACATATTTGTTTTTATGAATAAGAGTGAGGGGAAAAAAATCATCTCCCACATGGCTTTGGAGGCAGAGCTGTCTGCACCAACAGCAAAGGGTGTCCCTCTGCCTGCTGTAGGGCCTCTAAGTTACCTCACTGCAACGTGTGGCTGTTTTCAGGCACTGGGAGGCTGAAATTAAGAACCTACTGTAAGAGTCTTGCTGATGTATATTGTACAGAAGAATTATTCATGACCAGCGGAGTTCTACATGACCTAGATCCTTTACAGAGATCAGTAGTGAGTTTTTTCAGTCTTGTTCCCGGGCTCTGATAGTGAAGGCAGTAAACTGGGAGCTCTGCCAATAAAGGCTTCAGTGTGCAAGCACCGATCTCCAAAAGCTCTTTCCCAAAAATGAGTTGGAGTAATGGACAAGTCTCTCTTATTCTGTTGCTTCAAACTCAGCTCTGTTGAAGTACTGAGGTATTTCTTGCTCCTCTTACCAGTGTAATTGGTGACCACTGCTCCTGAAGGGGCTGTGGCTATGAATTTCAGTGATGCCACATCCACAGCTATCTGTGAAAAACCAAAGGCATCTTGAATACTTGAATCCAGTAACCGAAAATAAATGAAATC